GCATTGCCGTTCACGAAGCCTCGCTCCTTGTCAACATTGTGCGTCAACCGCATTCTCATTCCAGGAGCTACGGCGACCTTGTCGCTTTCGGTGGGCACGCCTCCGCCTTGTGTCAGAATTGCAGCTGCTTGGGGAAACTCCAACTTCAACCGGGCCAGGTTCAACAGAGCAGCACCCTTGTTCGTCACAGTGAGGAACGTGAAGCACTTCTCGGAAATGGACTCTATGGTCTTTGCTGTTCTCACGGCTGCTGCGACATCGGACGGCCAGATTCGACCACTGAAAAATGTTTGCAATTCTTCTCTGGTTGGTTGCCGAACCCGTGCTGCATCGAGGAAGCTGAGCATTTCCGCATCTACAGTGCGGGCCGCCTGGTGGTGCTTGAGCTCCACGTACAAGATGCTCTGCGCCTCCCTTTGCTTTCGCAGTGCTGACTCCAGCTCGGGACCTCCACTGAGAGGCTGCAGTTGCTGAAAATCCCCGACAAAGACCACGAAGGGAGACGGCGCAAGCTCGCCTAGGGCCGTGCGCAATTTGCGCCAGACCGCGGCTTCAATTTGGCTCACTTCATCGATGACGATGAGATCGTACTGCCGCAAGCGGCCGGGCGGAATGTAGGCCTCGTCTGCAACTCGCGTGATGCGAAAGGCAGAATGCACCGTCTCCATGGTCAGGTTATTCAGGTTGGGCAGCCGAAGCCGATACATGGACACTAGAAGTCCGATCGGGCCGGCAATGAGAACACGGCAGTTGTCTTCCAATGCCTGTCTGATGGCTGCGATGACTACTTCTGTTTTGCCTGTGCCGGGACCTCCTCCGACTTGTAGGATCCTGCAGGAATGCTCCATAAGCGCTGCATCGCTGACGGCAGTTCCGGCCTTGATGTGGTTTAGTACCAGCTGCTGCTCCGCCGACCAAACTCGGCGTGGCGCTGCCGAAATCTTCTTGGCGCTCCAGAGACCCGGGTCTTCGAAACCGTTCCGGATTTCCAGAAGCAGGAGCGTGCACGCATGCATCCGGGCCTTGAAGGTGGCGATGCGATCATCACCGAGGCCTCGAAGAATAAGATCTTGCTCTATCTGGGACAGGAGTTTGCCGATGTCGGGGTGGAACTCGCTTGGATTTGCATCGGGCAGCTGAAACTCATCTAAAGAGAGCACTGCCTTCAAGTGCTTGCAACCTTCTGGTGCCGTGAAGGACGATCTGCGCATTTTCTCGTTGCTGTGACTGGCAGCATAGTTTTCCTTGTCCTTGGAGGTGTCCGGAAGGATTCTGTATTCCGGCAGCTCTTTGAGGAATGTGGCTGCCCAGGCACCGATGAAGATGTCCAACAGCTCGAAAGGAAAAGTCATTGCAACACCGCAATCGCAGCTTCTGGCTGGGCCTGCAACGTTTCTTATGGCTACAGTGCGCCGATTTGCATCCACCACACGGTAGCGGCGTAGCCATTCCATGTAGGACAAGCCGCGGGTGCTTCCCAGTCCATCCTTCTGTTCCTTGAGGTAGTACTGGTACACGAGATACTGATGTCGAGAGGAATTGCTAGCGTTGCTGCCGGGGATCGGGGCGTAGATTGCATGCCCGGAAAAGGAGTGTCGTACCATTGGGAGGCCCGCAAACTCCATCAGCATTTCTTGTTCCATGGGAGACTTTTTGCACAGCAACCGATATGTCTGACGCCACGTGCTAGTGTCAGTTGGAGTGCCTGCGTGATGAGCTTGTTCTCGGCTGAACTGCAGCGCATCGGAGGCCTTGGAGACATACCCGGCTACATATCTCAGAAGATTGTGTGTGCCGTCTCCAACTTGAACATCAGCTCGACTGCCGAACAGCTCCTCGAGAAGCCGCACAAAGGGCGATTTCTGATCTGTTCCGCTGCGGCCAGTAAGGTCGTCGGCGCTGCAGTCCGGCAGCAGATCCGCCCAAAGAACGGCATGCAGGTGCAGCGTTCCTCTCGACTGGAACTCGAATCGGAACGACCATTGTCGAATGTTGGCAATGCCAATTCTCTGCAGGGACTCGCCGTCCTTGAAGATGTGAAACTCCAAGAGCGTCTGCAGCGTGTGGTACAAGTGCAGCGTGATCTTCTGCTGTTGGTCCGTCAAGGAACCCTCTTCGAACAATCCTTCGTGCAGAAGATATTGCCATTCTGCCGGAGCTACAGTAAAAAACACTGATGGCAGAGCCGCATCCATGGACCCGGTTCTTGCGAATTCCAGTCGGCAAATGTCTTCCATTTTGCGGAGCTGCTGATGCCAATACTCTTCGAAGGTGTCCATGTCGGCCGCGGCCTTGTCTGGGGATATCTTGTTCTTCTGGGCGATGGCCTGCACGGCGCTGATCGTGCGCGCCATGCACACGTCATACAGCAGACACTGGAGTGGAAAGTCTTTGGTGTAATCCACGCATCGGCTTTGCATCTTGCGCATGAAAGAAGCTCTGATGCTGGGTTTGCTTCGAGCAGTTGTCCATCCCAAAGGCAGCAATCTCTCCTGGATGTCTGTGTCCGCCATGCTTGACAGAGGATACAACCACGGCCGCGCGGCAATCTCTATGCCCGGCGATCGAAGCAATAGTTCCGCTGTGGGAAGATCCCTGCTGCCTGTTAGCTTGTTCTCCCGTAGCAGAGCTGCATGCCGATGGATCCATGCTCGGTAGGTGTCATTGTTCTGCATCAACCAAGTGAAAGCTCGAGCTGCAAGATCGCCTCGCGACGCGTCCAGAAGAGTGTCTGGATGCCACCGACATCGTGTTAGCGAGCGCTTCTGCTTGCTGGTGATTTCTGCGCTGCCTCCTCGGCGGCTGCGGTAATCCACGTGGATGCGAAGAACTGCCAAATTCTTAATCTCCACTCGAGGAAGTACTTCTGTTAGCGGTAGGTGATTCTTGCCGATTGCTGCCGACCATGAATGCCACTCGCTGCCTTGTGGAGTTGGATAGATTCGGAAGTGCGCGCTCGGCAGGTCTTGGGGAGGCGGAGACAGCAGAGCCTCGGCTGTCTGGTCGCAGCATGGTCGGCAGGGATTTTCCGGAAACAAGTCTGTCAGCGACCATCGTCTCTGCGATCTGGTTCGTGGCTGTCTGTGCCCGCAGAGGGAACAAAAGGTCCAGGAGCCTTGTCGAAGCCAAAGCGAGCTGGGATCGTCGGGTGCGGAAGATCTGGCGACTCTCTGCATAGGCACGGGCATCATCACTCCGAAGCTCAGGTTGTACTCCTCGGACCAGTTGGGAGCGGTTGCCGTCCATTGTTTCAGATTGGTTGAGTAGCGCCAGCGGCTTAGCGTGGAAGGTGGCACGGGATGCTTTTCCTCTTGGTCCGACTCCGTCTGCACTGCCTCGGCGATTGCTGCAACATCGCCGCCTTCGACGAGGGCTTGGCCGAGCCGACTTTTTTTCTCTGGCGTTAAGTTGGCAAAGAAGCTCGTGCGGGCTGGCTTGCGTTTGTATGTTCCTTGTGGCCTCGCAACTTTGTGCAATGCTTTTTGCGCGAGGTGCGGGTGCTTGAACCAATTTTGCAGGGTACTACGATGCAGGAAGTAATCGGACTGCTTTATCTTCATGGTGAAGTTCTCCAGCTTGTCACCGATGATCTTCGTCGCCTCAGACAAGGAGCTGCTGTTGCCGAGGGTTTGGACGATGAAGGCGCGCTCATCTTCTGAGTAGTTGTAGAAGTTCTGCAATTTGGGCGGCGCTGATTTGGACTCCGTTGTGTTAGCCTGGTTGCCTTGCTCGTCTTCAGGGACATGGTCTTGCCGGGGGGCGGCCTCGGGCTCAGCATCTGGTGATAGTGGAATCGTGATGGTGGTCTTGGGCTTTGCCAGCCATGGCTGTGTCAGCACTGAATCATCGCTCCCTTCGGAGTCGTCGAGATCAATGGCCGGGCGTTTGACGGGCGGCAATCTGGGCGAGGCTGGGGCTGGGACCTGGCTGTACATCAGCAGGTAGACCTTTTCCTCGGATGAGCCGACGATGTAGTCGCCATAGTCCGTCACCTGGGAAACCCGGGCGTCGTCGTATTTCTCGAAGCCTATGTCATTTGGCCTGTAGGCAATGTAGTGTCCTGAAGAAGCTGTTGCTCCGATGTGCGTCACGACCGCGTTCAAGAAGTAGCAGCAGTATCCCACCACAAGTCGGCGATTGCAATTCACTCGGTGGCCCAGTAGGCCATGGTTGGTCCACCTTTTCAGAGTCAGCATGAGGGTGCGAGGCCATTCTGTGATGCAAGTTCTTCTTCGTGGCGCATTGGTTGCGGTCCCAGCGTTCAAGCAATCCTCGGAAAGACATGTCCAATCGATGATGTCATCCTGGATGACTTGCATGTTCGCGTAATGGTCCACAACACTCTGGATGCAGTCAAGCGGTTCAACGCCTTGTAAGGATGCTTGCAAGGACAGAAACGTTTCTGGCTGGAGTGCATATTGATAGTCACAGCAAGTGCACTGCAGGAAAGGCTTCTCGACACCCTTGAATTGCTGACTCGCCCCCGGACATTCCAGGAGCAGGTTCATGAGGAATTCACTGCAATCCTCTTGGCGCCCGTTGTAGAAGCGATCCGTGAGAGGCTTCGGTGTGAACGTGCTCGAGCTGTTCTGGGCCATGTCAGCAACTGCCTTCAATGCCTTCTCGGCGTCTGTCCCGCTTGAAGCTTCAAGCGTGGGCAATGCCAAGAGTGCTTGCACCCCGGCATTGATGAAGCAAGACGCTCCCAGGTTAGTCAAGCTGGGTCCACGGACGTTCATGGCAACAGCACTACAAGAAATTGACTGAGAACCGAAAGCTTCAAGATCTGGCCAGAGAGTTCGAACAACTCCGGTCTCCCAAATCGATCTGATAGCATGGCAATCATTCCTATTGCAAGGTTTGTTGATTCAGCTATTTTTTCCCCAGCGCGCACATGCTGCCGTGGAAATTCCGTGCTGAGAACGGTGGAGTCTTGCTGCCTCAGGGCCGGAGCCGGCTGTATGCTAATGCTAACTGCAGGAGCACCACAAAAAATAGAATTATTCACCCCTCACTTGGTTGCCGATCGTGGGAGTCAGGATCACCTCTCCATCGATGATCGTCATCCGCGGCATTCCTTCGGAACAATTCAGGCATCGAAGAGACCGGTAGCATCCGAGGAAGCAGCCCCAGCGCTCTGTGTCTTCTCAGCTGGTTTCTGCATGCGAGCCTTCACCGCGGCAACGAAGTGGTCCTCCGACATAGGCTTGCACGCCACCGCAGCGCGTGCCACGAGCTCGGCAACATGCCCAGTGTAGAATGTGTTGTTGCCGGACAAAATGAACAGCATGCTTCTCAGGGCACTCTTGTCTTGGGCCAGCCAAGCTCGAAAGTTTTTGGCCGCCTGCTCAGGGTCAATGGAGGCACTGGACGCGCCTGTCACGGGCGTGGTGGCCGTCATCTTCATGCGCTTGGCATCGCGGAATGAGCTGGAAGCAGTTGCCGTGGCCGATCCCTTGCCGAAGTTCAAAGCTTCCAGCGTAGGCTCCAGCGATCTCACCTCTTGCATCACCTTCTCGTACAAGGCTGGAACTATGATCTTCTGCATGTCCGAGCCCTTGAGGTTCTTGATAGAGGCTAGGAGCGCAGCAGCAGTTAGACTAATCCCTGCGCCCACGTGCCAGGCATC